CCCAGGGAACCCCAGAAATAACCGGTCCCATCCAACTACCGGCCAATAACCTGCCTCAGTATCACATGGAAGTTCCTGTCAGGCAGGTTAAGAAAAACAGGCACATGGCTCAATACGTAAGCAGGGAAGAGAAACGAATTGGCAGGAATACCAGAGAACCGAAACACCAGGTACTGATAGACAGAGCAAGACTGTAAGACTAGGCTGACCAACCTGTGCACTGCCTGGATTGATTACAAGAAGGCTCATGACTCAATGGCCCACACCTGGATACTGGAATGCCTAGAATTGTCCAAGAACAACAGGACCTTAAAAGCCTTCATCGGGAAGTCAATGGGGATGGACATTACAGACCAACTTCAAGCCCATCGCACAGGATCTATCAAGGAGATGCCCTGTCCCCCCTAGCTGTTCTGGATAGGCCTGAACCCCCTCAGTGAGATCATTGAAAAGAGTGGCTGTGGTTACCGACTATGGAATGGAACAATCCTGTACATGGACATCAAGCTGTATGCCAAGAGTGAACGAGACATCGATCACACGAGTACCTCAGGAAGATGGCCATGGACAGCTGCATGCTCAGTGAATACCTCAGGCAGCAGAAACCCAAGAAAGAGGAGGGAGACGAGGAACCATCATGGAAGGACAGGCCCCTGCACGGTATGTACCACCGGCAGATAGAGGAGGTGGCTGATCATCCAGAAATCCTACCAGTGGCTGGACAAAGCTGGACTGAAAGACAGCACAGAGGCACTAATCATCGGCAGCACAAGAACAAGCTCTGAGACAAGATCCATAGAGGCTGGGGTCTATCACACCAGGCAAGACCCCAGGTGCAGGCTGTGTAAAGATGCCTGAGATAATACATCACATAACAGCAGGGTGCAAGATGCACAGAAACAGAAACGTGTGCCGAATATGGCCTCGTAGTCTCAAGGTCAAATCGGGAGAGTAGGGTGGTCGAGAATGGCCGAACTAAGATCCTGTGGGACTTCCAGATACAGACGGCCAAAATGGTGGCTAAACAACTGGACATAGTAGTGGTAGACAAACAGAAGAAGACAGCTGTAGTGATAGATGCAGTGTCAAATGACAAAAAATCAGAAAGAAGGAACACAAGAAGCCGGAGAAGTACCAAGGGCTCAGAGAAGAGCTCGAGAAGATGTGGAGGGTGAAGGTAAACATGGACCCAGTGGCAATCGGAGCACTAGGTGTAGTGACCCCCAAGCTAGGCGAGATAAGCAACTTCATCACTGATACAGCATTTTCACGTTCACTAACACTCACGTTTACTTGTAGTGTTAACCAATCATCTGTCAAGAAAGTACTTACTGTAACTTGACTTGCATCATAACACTGAAAAATTTGGGGAAAAAACGTGTGATAGTTGTGATAGTCTCTAGTAACGCTCTTGAAATGTGGAATTTCCAAGTATTTCAATGAATGTTCATAATTCAATCACCAATTTTATATATCATATATATAATTAGTTAAAGATGGTTTGACAGCATTAAATTGGAATTGATAAACTCACCTACTGGGAAGTTTTCCTCATACGCTGACAGAGTTCCCTTCAGACTCACAGCATCTCCAGACAAACCATGCACTGCTAAAAACATAAAGTGTTATGTGTTTTTACATTTTACCATTATACAATCATTGTTAATAACCTGTGAAAGATAAAGCATAATTACAGATGTGCAAATGATATCTAAAATACAGAAGAACTTTACAGTTGGATTTATCTGATTATTTGTTCAGTCACGCAAAATTAATTTGTTAAATTTCATATTTAACTAACAATATTCAATGAACAATTGAAGTTGTTTGCTCAAAGTAATTAAATGTTTAGCTATTGATTAATATTGTGAAATAACAAACAACTGTTTATTTAATAAAATGCTTGAAGTTTGCATAATAAGTCTCGAAATAACTGAATACAACTAAATATAATACTCAATTACTAAATTACTCTACAAATATCCAGTGACTCTTTGCAATAATACATCTGAGAGGGATTCATATTTTTATTAGTTGCTATGGTTAGGACTTTTGCACACAAAACGTTTAAAATGTGGTGTTTTGTTCTACATGTAGCTACCTAACAATTCATTCAAGTAAGCCTGCAAATCCACACAACTTTAGCACCACTCTTTTTGGTGGAAAAAGTAACCACTGAATGCAGTTGGACACAAAATGTCTGTGTAGGTTCTCAGTCATCCAGGTTCTGGTTGTCTAAGGAGGAAGGGAAAGCGACTGGACTTCTTTAAGCTTCCTGAAGAAATGGTGAAGATGCATTTAAATGGAACAACACTGTCATTCCTTATGTAGCAGGTAGAAACTCATCAAACCTCTGCTTATAATGACCCACAGCCTTTTTCACACCTTGGCTCCTGTGACGAGGCACATGACCAGTAGTGAGTCAACACCCTCAGGGACAACTCCCACTAGGGCTTAAATACCTGGGCTCTGCCATTTAGTGTTAGAACTGAAGATGCTTCTGGGATGAGAGGTTGAAGCTTCATGTAACTGGACGTCTTTAGGAAACTGAAACGAGTCCAGGCGCTTCGCTTTCCAAGCTCGTTGGATTGGACACAAAATCCTTAAAAATAAAAGTACCTAAACCAACAGTAAAATCCTGCTTTTATATGTTAATGTGTGACTTATTGCAATTTCACGATCTCATGTACAATCAGCTACAGAAGGAAATTTTCTTATTAGAACGCTACTTTTACTTCTAAATGTAATTTTTTTTAGTGACAAAGAGTATCTGAACTTAACTTTAACAAAGAACTTTTAACAGAACACGATGTTAGACAGATATGTTTACTTAAGTCACACAGTCAGCTGCTTTAAAACAGATAATTTTCTTATATAAACAGAAAATAAAACAAAATTTGTCTTTAAGTTTCAGGCTTTCACACAATTACTGTGAAAAAACAATATAAAACGCATCTGCTAATTTGTAGTGAACAGCAGCATGAGAAGGACCTCTCTCATTACCCATTCCGCTCGGCCGGTGTAGTATCTCCGTCATATGCCGGTACTGCTGGACGTCAGTGGAAAGCTGTCTCCGGTACTTGTGGCTCCAAGAATCCCGCTCCGACCGGGCTGACATTTCCAAGGCAGCTGCGCAACGTCCTCTGCGACCAGTCAGCAGCACAGCATCACATGCCTGTGCACGATGCACCTGGTAAACTCCCAGTGAGGGACACGGGGGTCTGCCTCGCTTTTGCTTTTCAAAGTAAAAGTCTTCAAAAGTTTGACTTAGTGAGCCTGTAGGTCAATACGAACGAGTCCGAATTAACATACTATTACTACTACTAATAAATATAAATCAATATAAATAAATACTACTAATAAATAAATCCTTCTGATTTTACTGTAGAATTAGGTGCAAATGTTTTTTGTGTATGTGTTTGTGGTGTGTTTTATGGGTGATACAATATGTTTATGTTGACATAAATACAGTGAATACAAAAATATACAATTTAAGATTCAAAAAGTCACCGTAGTATCAATATTTTTGACACTTGATGAAAAAGAGGGAGATCTTTGTTTCATTGTTTGCTTACTTCCCTTTTCTCATATTGTTGTTATTTACATTTATAAATATATCACATATACACATTTAAAATCTTTTTTCACTTAATGCCATATATAACCTAATTAACGGTATATTATTACATTTTTCAGAGTATACTGATTATAACCTAGGCAACTTTTATTATGACGTTAAATGTGGATTATTTCCTGTGTTGGTTCGGTGAGCTCTACACTGACGTACATAGTGAAAAGCTGTCGCTTTATTTCAGTTTTTCTTTTATTATAAATGCTGCCACTTGTTTATCTGCACACCAATAACCAGAACAATTCAGTTACGTTTCTGTGCTTGAACATGGAAAGGTTGCACAGTTTTTCCTTAAATTAAATTGCGTAGACTTCACGTTAATAATCACCCAGTGAGCAGCTGAGTCACATGATATTATTAAATCACTCTTTGCTTTGTCCCCTACCTCTACCCCAAAGCATTGTTTGGAGATGAACACATTTATTCCAAACATTTTCCATCAACTTTTTCTCTCTGTTTGCTTGCACGTGGGTTTGACTTGAGTTTTTTCCTCGTCAACATCCCAGGAAAAGACTCAGCACTTCCTGTCCTCCAGTCAGTTCCTCTGTCAGCTCAGAATTGCAGCCAACTAGCAGCAGTGTTGTAGAAACACAAGAACTGTCTACAGTCATGAAATCAGACACATAAAGTGATACACATTCTGCAAGTCTTGCAAATGTACTGCCATAAAATACTTCAGCTCCTTTTATTGTACTCACTAGTAGTCAGATAAAGCACTATGTCAGCAACATGCGACCCTTAAATTCTCTTTTATGGTAAACTGACTAGTTGTTACTCTACTCAAGCACTCAAAGCACCTTATGCAGCTAGTTTCATTCACGCACAAGCAAACTGTCAAAGTGCTGTCTAACATTCATGCTACAATGAATGCAGCACATCAGCAACAACCTGGGTTGAGTATCTTGCCTGGAACTGACCCACCAACCTTCCACTTAGCAGATGAGCTGCTCTGCCTCCGGAGCCACAGCTACCTCACAGACAGTTGGACAGAGTTTGACTGGTATTTCTTTATTAAATGCCAATTAAAACAAGAATGAGTTAAAAATGACAGCAACATGATAGATCAGGAATCTTGGACCTTTGGTTAGCCATTCTGGGTGTCTCTCATTGACTACCAGCTGGATATCTGCCACTATGATGGTTACTGGATCCTGTTCAGGGAGGTTGCTGTGGTCTGCTCTTAGATCCACTAGCCACTGAGCATTGTTATTATGGTTTGCATCCTTCTCCCATATGCTTTTCCAGTGCTGCTCCGTCTCCAGCCTTGGTGGTGCTGTTCTCATATTGTTCCCTACTGAGAGTACACCTTGGATGGTTCTGTGCAGAATAGATGGTTTATTTTCCTGCCTTCTACTTCTCTGCGTATACCTCTTCAAGCAGCTGTCCAAGGCTGGTAGTCTTTGCTTGGGTGTCTTCAAGGCCTCAGGCATAGACAGCTTTCTGTGCTTCTTAGGCACCTTTCTGCAACTCCATTAGTTGTGCTACCTTGACCTTGGCCTCTAGTCTCTTTCTCCATGGTGGGTACTGCACCTTGTGGCGGTTCATCTTATAGTCATCTCACTGATCACTGCTGCCATGGTGTTCTGATCTTGGTAAGTGGCTACGGAGGGTCCAGGTTTCAAGTTTCCCCATGATCCTATTATGTACCTTGTCAATCTCTAGCTGTGAGAGCAATTCCTTCTTCCGAATGTTTGAACACTGAGCTACTAGTTGTTTTGCTGTCAGTCTGGAGAAAGTTGCACACCAAAAATAGTGATGTTTATAGAAGTTCTTTGAACCATTGTCAGATGCTGGGATTGCAAGGGTTATCATGTCAGAACACGCTATGGTCTCATGAAGTCTATTTTAGATGAGTTAGGAGTCAGTATTTTTTTTAATGCATGATAAAACATTTTAGGAGGAAGACAAATCACCCTAACAAATCATATTGCTTTCAGTGGTACTTTGATCCCGGAGTATTACAGGAAATAATCTAACCTGTAAAACTGAAGTGACCTCAGTAGAAAATCATGAAAGATTTTAAAGTGGTTTATACCTTGAACCCACAAGTTCCTCTTCAGTCACTTATTAAACTGTGAGAGAGACACTCAGTTTCATCATTAGCTCATCATTGGATGATTTTATTTACAGTGAACTCACTGGCAGCTTGTATTTTAACCCATGTGAGTTGATCTTCTATTGATCTTCTATTGTTATAGAGGCCTAATAGAGGTTTTGGCCATACCAGATCAAAGCTAACCAAGAGCACTCATTTTATGAGATCTCCTTGGGTTCAGTTTTGGAATTTGGCCGGAAACCTATTTGTAGGTTGAAGCCTATATGGAAACAGTTTATATGGAAATGATTGCGCCTCCCTTCGCTTTTCGAGAAAGCTCTGTATTGCAGTTGAAAGCCTGGTAGATATAGTGAGCTGTTGGGGACATGTTCACCCAGCCAGATATCACTGAGGCACAGGGCTGAACATTCGCTGGGTGAAATGAAAGAAGCATGGACCGGCCAATGTACGATCGGAAGGAGTTTGAGTTTCTCATCAGCATCTCCTAATCCTGTTGAGAGCTGCTCCAACTAATAGTTTTGCAGAATTTTCCAGATGAATGAAAGACAGGGTGAAAGTTTTATTTAAAAAAAACAAAACAACCTGATTACTTTGTTGATGTGTGTGTGAACAGGAAGGAAGAGCTGAAAACTGAACAGATAAACACAAGCAGGAAAAGTAGCACCGAGCAGCATTCAGGCTGCTATCAGCTGCACCATCTTGAATATGGAGATTATTAATGACTTTCATTTATAACACTATATTTTCCTAATTATTCATTTTGTGCTGTTTACCCTTGTTTTTATACATGGTTGAAAACATGTTGTGTGGTTATGTCTTTAACAGACACCACACAGCCATATATGTAAATTCATGGAGGCATGAACTCATTTAATAAAATATGAAATAACTGGTCAACAGATACATTTTTTTTAACTGATTTCATTTTCATTACAATCTGTGTTGTCCAGTCAGGACAGGAAAGCTATGAAATCAGCACATTAGAGTTGATTCACTCATAGTCTTGTCTGTCACGTCTATATTAAGTGTGTGTTGTGTGTTTAGCTCTTCCTGTACTGCTGGATGTGGTCAGGGGTCCAGACCATCTTCCTGCAGATGAAAAGTCACAGGAAATGCTGCGAGGGAAACTGTGCATGCTGGAGGCTGACAGCTCCGAGGTCAATACCCTATTTAAGGTATAACTCCTGACTCATAACACACAGACACACACAAAAGCCTTCTATTGAGTATTTTAGTCCATTATATATGTGCTCCAACACAAAGTTTCTCCATGAAGTGATAACAATGCAATAAATATCTTTTCCTTAGTTTGTTTTTTGTGTATTGAAAACTTAAAAGTGAGTGAAGTATCCCAGGAAGGCAACCGTGGTCTGGCCTGCCCATCACAGAAGCTATAAGGTGCTGAACATGAATGTGAACATGGAGAACATTGTTGGCCATTACACAGCTTACAGTGTGGAGAGAAAATGTCTTCTTTGTACTTTTTGGGGGGAGGAGGGAGCAGTGAACGAGTACCTGGAGCCTACCTCATGGTAGGCACTGTTCCTAAGCTGATTTCTGTTTCCTTCCTCGTGGAGTGTGGAATGTACGGCTTGACGTAGCAGCAGGGGTGGCAGTACTTTGTCTCTAAGGAGCCGCCAACTGATAAACCTTTTGGTACAAAGAGGTTATGAAATGTTGAGTTTTACCTGAGGGGGTCGCTCCTTTAGTTTAGGTTGAGACTCTACCACTGAGGTTACAGTGAGCCCCAAAACATCACTACTGAGAATTCTGTGGTGAAACATTTTATCCTAATCAAGTGATGTGTGGCTGCAGCAGTTCCCAGTGTAGAAGTCAGCAGGGATTGGCTTTTGAGGCCGCCGACACTTGCGAGCTCAGCTCCAGGATTCTGTGGGAATTCCATGGAAATGGCCGGAGACAGTCTGCCAGTGATGCCTGTGCATGCTTGACACCCATACAGTTCATGTTTCAGAGGGAATATTCTTACTGACCACCTAAAGTGCTTTAGATTAAAGCTTTAACATTTAAACACATGTTCGTACAGTACTTTATTAACTCCATCTGAAATGCCAGCAGCACTGCAGTATGTATAGTATAGTATAACAGCTGCTTTTACTTCAGGGGCCACAATCGGCCTGCAAAGAGAGAGACGGTTTTGTTAAATATGAAAGGGGGCAAACATTTTTGGTATTGAAACTATATTTTCTGTAGATTTATGGCTTTTCCTATTCATCACCCCCCACCCCCCGTCATTCAATGAGCTAACATAACTTTCTCTGTAATTTTACTCATCTGTTTATTACAATGTAAGCCCACAGACTTGTGCTAACATATTTGTCCATCTTCATATTTCTTTAATACAGTTGCTTGCAAAAGTATTCGGCCCCCTTTAACTTTTCCACATGTTGTCACATTACAGCCACAAACATGAATCAATTTTATTGGAATTCAACGTGAAAGATCAACACAAAGTGGAACGAAAATCATACATGATTCCAAACATTTTTTACAAATAAATAACTTTAAGTAAAAATAATTATTCAGCAGAAAATTGTACCCATTGCTGTTAAATAGATTAATATTGAACTCATTTTAAATACTTTATATTCTGCTCATTGTGCAGCCTCGTATTCTATGAAGCATGTGTTTGTAATACAAATGGAAAAAATGAAAAAAAGGATTTTTCATTTAAGTGGCGATTGAGGAGGAAAAGCTGAGAGTGGCCATGTGAGAAGGTTTCAGACAAACTGATCAGAGGTTGAACCCTCTAAAGCGTACCCTGTCACTGGTGTCAGACAGATGTTTCACAACATCTTTTAAACATCTGTAACTCCTCAACCATTTTAATTGAAAGAGTTCAAACACTTCCTGACAGCTCTGCCGTGATGTTAGGGTCACTACAGTGATCCTAGGCTCTGTGTCGCAGCGCCCCGGTGAAAACAAAGGTTGGTTGAGAGAAGAGTGAGTGAGTGTTATGGACCTCCACAGAAAACAGACATTTGTGTTCTTTTCACTGTGTTGTGTTTTGATGTCATTTGTGTGCACTGGCAGCCATGTGATTGTGGTCAGTGAGCAAGCTGCCAGTGTTTGAATTATTCGAGACACATTTTGGGCAGATCATCATCATATATGTATTCTGCTGGTTTTGTTTATTTTTAAATACTTATTCTGAAGTTTGCTCATCTTCATGTGGTGTTGCTCACTCTCTGTCTCATACTTGAAAAACATCTGGAAAGTGGTGGTCTTTAGAGTTTTTATGGCTGGAGCTGTGAAACATTATTGGAACA